GCTTCTCCCCCTCCCTCCCAGGCGCCCAAGCCTGGGAGGGAGGGGGAGCAGTGGCGCGTGAAATGACTACTCGGGCTCTCCCCCTCCCTCCCAGGTTTGAGAGCCTGGGAGGGAGGGCGAGTAGCAGCGCGTGAATAAGCTGTTTCGCACGCCGTGGCAGCAGCAGCAGAGGTGAGCTAGGGCGGCCGGGGCACATTTTTAGGGGCAGCGTTCTGGCGCCGGCCATGCCGCCCCTAAAAATGTGCCGCCCCAAGCACCAGCTTGTTTTGCTGGTGCCTAGAGCTGGCCCTGCCCACCGAACACAATTGGTGTACTTTGTGTACAATAAAGGAGGGATGCTACACAATTAGATTCCTGTCCAAAGCAGACTTTCAGCTGAAAGTCTTTATTTTTTATTTTTTTTATTTTGTAGCACTCGTTTTACATGTTAGTAGGGCCTCATGGACCACCTTCTCTCTCACTTCCCCTCCCATTAGCAAATGCATAACATTCCTGTGACAAATTGCTTATAAGGAAAAGTAATTTTAGGAAATCATTTATGTTTCTTTAGTTGTCTTCTACGAGAGGTCTTTTCCCTTTGGAAAAAAGTTAATCACGCTCTTGCATTTTGTTCTTCATTTATTCTCCCTCAGCCATCTGTTCTATTCCTTTTCTTCCCTCTTGCTCGTGTTTCCCTGCTCCACAGGATATACTGCTTGTCTATCTTGTTCCCCTCTCCCTTGGTCATTCCTTTTCTACTGATGGCTGGAAATTTCATTTCCACAGGTAGCTCTGTATTGTGAGGGCTTCCATTTCCCTTTATGCAGAAGTGGTCCCTAACAGAGGCAGCTAGGGTGGTACCTTGTTACTTCCATTTGCTTCTTTGTAATGAGGAAGGAAGAGCCTAGACCCGTGGTTCTCAAACTTTTGTACTGGTGACCCCTTTCACACAGCAAGCCTCTGAGTGCGGCCCCCCTTATAAATTAAAAACATAAATTAAATATTTAACACTATTATAAATGCTGGAGGCAAAGTGGGGTTTGGGGGTGGAGGTTGAAAGCTTGCGACCCCCCCATGTAATAACCTGGCGACTCCCTGAGGGGTCATGACCTCCAGTTTGAGAACCTGGCCTAGACAACTGCAAAAGCACTTGGAAACCAGGAAGAGGAGCCAGGACAACATAAACTGTCTGCTGGCTGTGCATCACCAGTGGTCAACAGAATACAATTGGAAATTAGTGGTTTAAAGGCACAGTGATTGCAGAATAGTAAGGCTGTCAAGCTATTAAAAAAATTAATCGTGATTAATCGTGCAATTAATCGCACCGTTAAATAAATGGTATTCTATTATTGTTTAAATATTTTTGGATGTTTTCTACATTTTCAAAAATATTGATTTCAGTTGCACACAGAATACAAAGTGTACAGTGCTCACTTTATATTTTTGATTACAAGTATTTGCACTGTAAAAAAAAACAGAAGAAATACTATTTTTCAATTCACTTAACACAAGTACTGCAATCTCATTATCATGAAAATTGAACTTACAAATGTAGAATTATGTACACAAAAAGGCATTGAAACATAAAACAATGTAAAATTTTAAATTCATCTAATAAAGTAACTAGCACAGGCATTAGTTTCTTTATAAGGGTTTGCATATAAGTCTAAAAGAGCCATGTGTATGGTTTGCTGAGATGTATATTGCTGTATTTTCACTTTAACTAGATTGACAATTTACTAAGAAACCAATCAGGATGCATATTCTGTTTCAAATAAAATGAAAACACCAAAAATTCAAAGTGTAATTCTTCTGTAGACTAGATTACTTTTTTAGAATAGTTTGAGAAACCATTTTTATTTAAAAGTATTTGGTTTAGTGAATTTATATTAATCTAAGATTCTTATATTAAAAAAAGCCTTGTCAGATACTTACATTAAGAACTTCTGTGTACCATATAACACTAGCTGCTTGCTTTACTCTTTGCTTTCCTGTACTATTGTGAAAGTTACTAGTGACCCCCCCTTAACAGCTAGCAGCTGTTATGTCAGGCAGCGGCCATTAGGGGGAAGCAGACACCTCAAGTACACAGTAGCCTGAACTTTCAACTGTCTTCCCTTTCAAGGCCTTAAGGTAGTTGGAGCTGGTCCCAAGCCGGTTTTCACTGACCAGATAGCAAAAGCATGGGTCTGACAACCACCAATCAAGTGTTAACACGGTAAGGGCCTTTGTCTGAACGTGTATAGAGGATCTGTAAAATGTGTGTAAGACAGAGTTTTTGTACCAAGGTGCAAAGCTCTCCTTTCTTCTGCAGAATAAAGCAACTCTTCCTTATCCCTGTCTGGCTGTTATTGGCTCTCAGTTAGGTGGACCCGATATTTTGGTGACAGTTTCTGGCGACTCCGCCGGGACTCTCCTAGCTCGGACATTGGACTCCGGACGGCTGCGGCGAACGGGGAACGGCGCCAACGGGGTGTTTTGCCCCTTTTCTCTGCTTCACCGCAGCCCCTGGGGTTCGTGTTCTGATAAGGTGAGTCCTAATAGGATAAGGAGACACTATCTGGTTCTGTTCTGGTTAACCAGTTAATGAATTTCCGTCTTGTACATTTGGGCGTTAGGTGTGTGGACGGAACTGAGCCTCTCATTCGTAAGCCATCACGTGTGATGAAGCTCTGAGGTCGAATTGGGATCCTTCTGTCCCGTCCCCTGTAGCGGTCAGTATTAGTAGAAATTCCTGTAATAGGATCCTATTAGGCCATAATTCCCTCTGTTCTCTGTGTAATTCTCTGTTAGAGTGTCAGCAGGCAGATGGGTGGGTCTCTGGTAAAACCCTCTAAGGATAGTCCTTTGGATTATATGTTAAGCAAATGGCCCTTACCCGGTGTTCAAAAAGGGATATCAAGGAAGCTTTTTTTACAACTTTGCACCCAGGATTGGCCAGCCCTGTGGACTGCATGGCCCGAGTATGGCTCCTTTGATATTCCTACCCATTTAACTCCCTTGCGCCTGACATTGGAAAACCAAGCGCCGGGCCAATGGACTATTGGTTTTTGTGAGACGATGAGGCTCATCGTCGCTTGGAGAAGGTACGGATTCAGGCCCCTCTATTTCTGAAAGCTTCTGCCCCTCACAAAGCTGATTATTAGGAGGATATCCCCCCCATGTATTGCCCTAGACCACAGCCACCCCCGGTGGCAGCATTACCAATTGCGGCGGACCCGGTACCCTCCTCAACGGAGCCCAGGGCAGCAGTTCTACCGAGACAGATCCTGCCAACAAAGATTGAGGACGCCTCAATGCAGGTCAGCGAATCAACTAGTGGAGCCACCAGCAGTGGGTACACTTCTTCCCTGCCTGTTCCCATCCTTAGTCCGTCCCATACAAGGAAGACGGACTTCGGACCACGAGGGAGCACCGCCAGCTCTTCCCACCGCAACCCAGAAGAGCCAGAAGCAGATGATACCTGGAAAGCTGAACCTCTCGAGGGACTAAAGCTTTTGTTCCGGCGAACAAAGTCCTAAGACTTTATAACTATGGGTTCTCAGACGGTGCTGCAGTGGCTATTACTTTTGGGTCTGCCCCTTGTACAAGCTAACCCACACCCAGCCGCTAAACCTCTTCAGCGAATGGCCACGTTGGGACACCTATCTGATTGTTGGCTGTGTCAAAAACCCGCTCTGAGGATGGAATAGGGTTGTGGGCTGTACCTGCAAATCTCTCTGAAGTACTCTCCTTATAGGTAGTACGGAAAACGGAATGGGCATGGGTTGGGGAATATCAATATGACAAATATGGGAGAAGGTCTGAAGTTTGGCATTATTACTGGGCAGCTAAGGGGGTCCCTCTTTTTGAAGTTCTTGGGATTGGGTATAACCTGCCCCTTTGTTTGGCGAATGCTGAAGGAAGTGGGAGGGAAGTGGGCTACCTTCCCCTGGAGGCCTGTGACCAAACCCTTCGATTTGAGGTCAGAAATGGAACCCTTTACTCTTTAAATACCCCTGAGAACGCCCAAGGCGCCCCCCCCCCCCCGCCCCGTCTCCTGCACATGGCCTTTACTGTGAAACCAACAGACATTCGTTATTAAGGGCGGTGGTTTCCCTCATTCCTCCCGTTAGGCCCCATAAATAAAACACATATGTATTATATGGATATTTACTCTGGCATTCTGTTGCCCCACACATCCCTTGAAAGGATGTCTGGATGCCCAGAGTCCATGGGATCACTTACAAGTTTCACAGCTAACATATTTGGGGCTACGTATTGTGGGGCCATTTTAAATAATACCCGTGCCCTAGGAGACTTAAATGTTTCCCACTGGAGGTGCCAGGACTGCCTAGTGGGTAACTCCTGGCGCTGGGATGAATGGGTGGCCTGGCGCCATCGAGTTGCGGGTAATACCCTTACCCTCTATTTAGAGACCCCTGGCTTGTATTTTATCTGTGGCCACAGTGTCTACAAAGCTCTCCCTCCAGGTTGGCAAGGTCGGTGTGGTGTGGCCCGGCTGTTACCAAGATGTCCAAGTAAACGACACATTGGATTCCAGCCAGATCCTCAACCTGGGCAGCTATTCCCATAAGTTTTTCACACCCCTCCCCCCCATAAGGACTCGAGCGAAATGCGCCAACAATCCCTTAATAGTTGGCAAACGGGGTTTCACTCCTTTGTTCGTGCGCTCATTCCTGGGTTGGGGGTAGCCGAGCTAGAAAAAACAATGGTAAATATTTCTGCAGAACTAGAAAAAACAGCTAATGCATCAATAGACACTTTCCAGAAGTTGAAACGGGAGATTGATGAGATGGCAGAAATAGCTTTGCAAAATAGGTGTGTGTTAGATACCATGAATGCTGAATTAGGGGGGGCTTGTGCTCGCATCGGGGAAAAATGTTGTTTCTATGTTAATCATTCCGGCTTAATTGAGCAGGATTTACAAGCCATTAAGAATGCTGCTGTTGTTTTCCATGCTGTATCTCCTGATCACACCTTTAGTTTTGAGGACCGCCTTCCAGACCTTGGGTCATGGTTTACGGGGCTCTTTCAAACAATTGTTAAATGGATTCTTCTTTCTTTTCTTTCTATGTGTTATCTGGATAATGATACAATGTGCCAAAGGCCTGTGTAATGCTATGACCAAATCTCTGCTGTCCACAAGAAAACCCAGTATCTGTCCCTCCAGCTTGATCGCAAATTGCGTAACGGGCCTGACAATTTTTGAGCTTGTCAGGCCCGAAGGGGGGACTATGAAAGTTACTAGTGACTCTCCCTTAACAGCTAGCAGCCATTATGTCAGGCAGCGGCCATTAGGGGGAAGTGGACACCTCAAGTACACAGTAGCCTGAACTTTTCAACTGTCTTCCCTTTCAAGGCCTTAAGGTAGTTGGAGCTGGTCCCAAGCCGGTTTTCACTGACCAGATAGCAAAAGCACGGGTCTGACCACCACCAATCAAGTGTTAACACAGCAAGGGCCTTTGTCTGAATGTGTATAAAGGATCTGTAAAATGTGTGTAAGACAGAGTTTTTGTACCAAGGTGCAAAGCTCTCCTTTCTTCTGCAGAATAAAGCAACTCTTCCTTATCCCTGTCTGGCTGTTATTGGCTCTCAGCTAGGTGGACCCAATATTTCGGTGACACTGTGTGTTAGAATTTGAAAACGTATGGCATATTCAATCTTATTTTCCATGTCCCTTTTCAACTGTGGCTGCCTTCCTGGTGGTTGCCCACTTCCAATCTGGCCCTAAAATTCCTTTCTGGTATCTTGAAAGTTACATTAACTTCTGGTAGACTCTGAATTAGTCCATTTGGTGTTCTCCATTTTTTCCTAAATTTGAGAACTAGTACATGGAGTAGAAAATGCTGGTATCCTTTTTCTTGCGGTATGACGTTTATTCAAAAATGATGTTTTGGCAGTCCCTTAAATGTGTTTGCAACTCCCTGATTTTTGTAGCATATTGCTAATATTTATTCTCATGATGGTTATATATAAAGTGGTGGTGTCTCAACTACAAAACTGAAAAAGGTCATGGTAATGTATAAACATGAAGCAAAATTTGCCCCAGAGCAGAGCTTTACGTGACCCTCTCTACTAAAGTGAATTTCACTGACAGAAAATGAACATTTCTGTCTGTAGGTAACTCATGTTCCCCAGAATATTCATGTGCAGTAGCTCTCATCATGACTGTTCTAATTTGTGGCAAATGTAGAAGTGTAATAAATGCTGTTCAACATGTACTCAATTAGGGCCTAATCCAAAGCCCACTGAAGTCATTGGGTGTTTTTCCATTGACATTAGTCAGCTTTGGATCATGTCCATGCAGCAACAGGATTACAATCAGAGAAGAATGCATGGTTTAAAAAAAGTAGAATGCAAGTTAAAAAATGTAAACTAATAAGCATTGTGCAGTGTGTCAGCGGGCAGTTTATATGGAACAGTTTGTTAATGGAGATGTAGTAATTTAGTTATCAGAGCAAAGGTAATTGCCTTCATTTGTTTCCTGCCTTTACATTCAGGGGACCAAGAGGTCGGGGCAGAGGAAGAGGTGGCAGAGATTTTGGAAACAAGGGACAGCTTTCATATGTCAGAGGGAAAATGCGAGGCAAAACAATTAATGGCATTGGGCCCATGAGGTAATACTTGGCAAACTAATAATTTTTTATTGCATTGTTGACTTTCTCAAGAAGAGGCGTTTTATGATATGTTATAGATTGGTCCACCTAAGGTAAACATTGAATTTTACAAATAAAATGGAATGCTTTCAAAGACAGTGATGAATGGTTGGGATAGCCTTGAAATCTATTGTTGAAGTTAAGGGTGACTTCATCTAAGTTAATCTATATTTTCATAAATGAAGCTTTCAGTTGCGAACTTCTCAAAGACATATTTACTTTTGAAATTAATGTCTTTTTGATCTTGTTTGACAGATAACATATTCATAACAGTACAACACTTAAATACTTGTCGCACTTTGAATGTGGATGTATTGTCTGTCGTACTTACAGATGTGTTAACAATTATACCAGGATAGTAGCACAAGGTGTGTATATAGGTCTATATACTCACTTAATGTAGTAATGAAATAGGCATGTTTAGAGATACAAATTTAATTAAAGGACATGGAAACTGCTTATTCTTTCTCATTCATTGCAGTCCCACAGCTTGAAAAGTAAAATAGTCCAATTGGCCCTCTTATGTCTGTAGCCTATAGGACTAACCTGCTTGCTTGCAAGATATATATATATATATATATCTTTTCTTATAGTTTAAGTATTTGGTTTATTGTAGTAGGTTTATAGATTTATATTAAAGTAAGTTTGGCTGTAATGCAAGAGACCTACAGGCCATATCCTGTATGTTAAGCTAAAGCAAAGTTAGCATATCTATATTAAGACCTTTTACTCAGAAAGCAAAGTTGACCTATATCTTGTTACCTAAATAGATGAGTACCCACGCCTATGTCCATGACCTTTCATTTAAACTAATAGACAATGGAGAATGGCATGGGGGGCGGGGGGGGGTTCAATGTTGTACCCACAGACTTAACAAGTACACCACAAGAGACTGATGTGCGTACATACCTGTCATCAATACGCACATGCATACTAGCCTATAGGGTAAGTGTACCCTAACACTTCTGTGGGTGAGAAATGAAATTTGGGCATAAGAGGAAGGATTTCCGGCATTTTCCCTATAAAAGAGGTAATCCACCTCAATAGAGTATCTCCAGTTCTCACTTTACTCCATCTCTATTCTCACTTACTTCCTCCACTCTATCTATTCTATCTATCTACGATGACTGCTACTATTAGTAGGCTATACTTGTTCTTCTTAAACTTCAAGTTTCAAAGGAACTAGGCTAAGCTTGGTTTCCCTATGTTTTATTCTTAGTTTGTTTATTAGGTTTTGATTTAAGTTTGTTAGTCAAGTAAACCCTAGTCAGCTTTGATAGCTCTTAGCATTTTCTAAGCACTGCATCCCTCACTCAAGAATTGAGAAACCTGAACCACAAGTCTGTTCCTGTGTCTCTTACCACCAGGTTATCAAGGAAGGGTGTGAGTATGTTAACCAAAGCTTTGTTGCATATAATACTATATTATCATATGTATCTTTTGAATAGCAGTAATGCAATTGTAACTTTGTAACTGTAAAAAGCAACAGAGAGTCCTGTGGCACCTTTAAGACTAACAGATGTATTGAGCATAAGCTTTCGTGGGTGAATACCCACTTCGTCAGCCGCAGACCCCTCTGATAGTTGTAACTCTGGGTATTTTACCATTTACTTACTATTATTAATTTTAATAAAAAGTCTTTAAGGCTATATCTGTCTCAGTGTGAGCTTCCTGTCATATCCCCGAGGGTCCATTATAAATTCTGTGGAGCCTGATTCAGGACAAGAACATTTATCTTCTGATCAAACAGATTGGCGAGCCTAAAACCCATACTAATTAATATGGATGACGATGATTATTAATATTATTATTAAGATAAAATTAAATTAATAAATCCCCATATTATCCAAATTAATATTATCAGTACACCCTAAATCAGGCTACAATGTCTCCACGGGCAAATTTACTAAAAGCAATTCTTCATTAAGGAGACTTAAACTGTGTAAACTTCTGTGTGTGGTAGAAGGAGAAAATAAAAGCACAAATGCAACTTTCTCCGATGTGGGAGTGAGTCGGTAGCGGGGACTTGCTGATCTCTTGGTGGGGAGATTGTTGTAAAAGACACTATTCTCGCTGGAGGAATTTCCCCTATAGACAGTTTTGCAGAATAGTGGCTCACAAAACCAAAACCATGGGGTCTTGCAGCTAGACAGATAAGGGCACCTGCTCTCGCTCTCAACAAAAAAAAAAAAAGACAGTATTATTGTCAAAATATTATTACATTCATTTCCCAGATTTGAAAATTCAGACATAGGTTGAATGACTTGCCCAAAGACACAGAGGTGATCTGCTGAAGAAGAGTTGAGATTAAAACTCAAGGATCTTTTCTCCCAGCTCTCTTGCACTAAACACTCCCTACAACATACTTCTTCCAAGCATCACCTGTGAAGTGGGGATGCCAGGAAGATGCAAGGAAGAGCACCCTCAATTGCCAGTGGTGAAGGTGAGAGGGAAGGAAAAAGGAGAATATTCCTAACATCTACAAAAAGAAAAACTCACCCAAGCATAAAGCCATTGTAGTTTTGGAAAAAAAACCAGAGCCAAGAGTCTTACCATAAAGAGAGATTGCAGAGCAACAATAGCATCTTGCTGTAGTGTTTTGCAGTGGAGGGCAGAGCAGGAAGGGGTCATCTTTTTCTCTTCATGACTCTCTTGTTAACTGTTCAGTGCCCCAGCAGCCAACCTCGGAGTCTGTTGCAGGGACAATGGTTACCCAATCAAAGCCCTCTTTCAGGAACTGTCCCTTTGGTTGAGTGATGCAACAAGGCAGCACAGCAGGTGGGATCTGCCCTTCAGGTCTCACTCCACAATCTCACCCTAACTGGGAAGGCCAGCATGCCTTACAGAATATGGAGGCTCCTTATTTTTTGTCTTCCCTTGTGACCCTACTGTGATGGGTTCCCCTCCCGGGGTGCCACCTGGAACTGTTGCATACTGACTCACCAGCCTGGGCTCCCTTTACACTGTACTGCTGTGACAGGCCCTCAAGCCCCCTCCAGCAAACATACAGGTAGGGACACACCCAGCTGCAGCTATACACAGATGCTGAGATTAGCTCTGCATGGGAAGGCCCAGCTAAGGCACTTCCCAGTTCCTAAGGCACACACCCCTTCTGGAGTGCAAACCCAAAATTATACTGTCTTGGGCTGCACAGGGAACTGTACAGCATAAGCTCATGAAATTTACCCCCTTTCAATGTGGAGGAAGATATGCAACAGCTTTCTGTCCCCCCCGTTATGATTTCCACACACTGGTTTTAGACAAAACAAAAACAAGTTTATTAACTACAAAAGATAGATTTTAAGTGATTATAAGGGATAGCAAACAGATCAAAGCAGATTACCTAGCAAATAAACAAAACGCAATCTAAGCTTAATATACTAAAAAGATTGGATATGACTAGCAAATTATCACCCTAATTGTTGTTTTAGGCAGTTTGCAGAGATTCTTGAGAGCAAGCTGCACTTGCTTGCAGCTTAAAACTCCAGGTATTCCTTACACAGGCTAGAAATCTCTCTAGCCTGGGTTCAGCCCCTAGTCCAGTCTTTGTTTCTCAGGTGTTTCCAGCAATCTTCTTGGGCAGGAAGTCAGTGAAGAACCATGATGATGTCACTCCCCTGCCTTAAATAGCTTTTGCATATGGTGGGAATCCTTTTTCTCCCCTCTTCGTTTCCACGCCCGGTCAGTGGAAAAACACTGGTATTCCAAGATGGAGTCCAGTACCAGGTGACTTAGTCACATGCACCTGTAGGGACACAGCAGCCATGACTCAGAGGCTGTTTGTAGCATCCTCAGGAGGGCTCCCCAGTGGGAGATTAGCATCTTCTAAGACCTATTGTTTTCCCTAATGGCCATTTTCAAGCAGCCATCTAGACTGGTTGCATTCTGTCTAGTGGGCGTTCCCCAGATGTAAACACATTTGCAATAAATGCATAGACAATATTCCTAATTTCAGATTCCAAAATGATACATGTATACAAATAGGATAATCATATTCAGTGAATCATAACGTTTTCAATGATATCTTACATGACCTATCGCATAAAATACATAATAGTTATGCCATAATCATATCGTAATATCACTATGAAGAATATGAAGCATAGGCCATTGCTTCTCATTTACTTCCATAGACAAATTTACTCTAAACAATTCTTCTTTATGGAACCAAGCTATGTAAATTTCTCTACATGGTTGTAAAGTTATGCTTAACACAAAATCTTTTGGAAGTAGGAAAGGGGAGCTATAATGAATTTATCTTACAGTTGTCTATAGCATATAGTATGTAAGCACTAGTGAACTAGACTTGCATGAAAAAAGAACACTTATAATTGCTGGCCACTATAACCTATAGAAACATGAAGCAAAAAGGGTTAGTAAATGTCACCCCAAAATGAGAAGCAGAAATTGGAACCAGTAACCTATTCAACCATATGTTGCTTTAACAAAAGAAAAAACAAATTTAAAAAACTACAAACACTTAACTTCAGTAGCCCAATAAAGAATCACTCCATAGAAAACAGGTAACATTACATGTAACTTTCCTTGAACAAGATGGTAAGAAGCTGGCGAGAGACTCCTTGCAAATAGCTGATTGATTAAAGATAAAACCTCTTTATTTTCATTATATTCATTTGGCATTCCATCCATCTCTAATTTTAGTAAACGTTGTATAGTATTAGTAAGTAGTCATGTTTTTTCTTGCAGCTTGGCAGTAGACATTCATCTTTTGAATAATGTTAGACAATTTATTCATCCCTTCTTAATAGTTCCAGGAGCAGTCCCTACTATGGGTTTTTACAGTCTTCACTTTATATTATTGCATCATTATAACTGTACAATGAAATAAATACAACTTAACTTTCAGATCTGTATTGAAAACTTTCCAGACGTGGGATAGGAAGAATGCATCCATATCCTGACCCCCGAGGCCAAAGAGGAGGCAGAGGGGGGCCACCTCTTTTATCACTCCCACCCCTGAGAGGAATGATGAGAGATCCTTTCTCACTTCCACCACCAAGGTTAGTTTTGATAACATTGATAGAAAGGTGTTTGTTTAAAAACGATGGATGTGTAGTGCTGTAGTCCTGTTTCTCTAAGTGAGAAATTGGTTTACATAGGAAGAAACCCAGAGTGTGGTGTGTTGGTTTTTTTGTTTTTTTAGGCAATATGAGATTGTTTGATTGGACTTGTCTGTGCAGACATGGACTTCCTCCACCACCACCAGGACCAATGGGCTTCAGAGGCAGGCCACTCCACCCCAGAGCCAGAGGGATGCTGCAGATGCCAAGAGGTCGATTCACTCCACCAAGAAGGTAAGAATGTTTCTTTGTTTTGTCTTTTTAAAATTAATTTTATTTGAAACCTAAAATTGCAGTAATTTTAAAGCTGTCTCTTGCAAGTATTAAAATCAAGGGCCATATGCTATGTAAACATTTCAGATTCCATTGTTGTAGTAATTTTAACTGCTGTGGAAGACTTTTAAGTATGCATGAGATTGCTAAGAACAAAATAAGTTTAAATCCAAATTGTAATGTAGTGTTGTAACTCTTTTGTTATTTTAAAGCAGTTATCTTGAGGGGAAAAAACAATTATTATTTTATCCTTTTACACAGCTTTCCCAATGGACCCGATGTACCATCCCCTCCGCCACCTGGACGGGGCCAGAGATGGCCTGGACCACCAGGTGGCAGACACTATTAAAGAGGCTTATTCTTTAAATTGTATAGCAGGGTGCTTTCTTGTTATCTTAAAACCATTTGAAATGGCTGGACTAAGAACTGCCTATAAAACGTTAAAGATGGTAAAGAATATTAATTGAACTTAGACAACTAATATTTTCCAGCAGCCCTCATACATCAGTTGGCAAAAGCCATATATTAAAAAAAAAAATCTGTGACTCCTTGGACTTTTTTCAATCATATCCTTTTTAAGCCTAGGCTTTATGGACACTGACTCCTGCACACTAAACGTAAAAGGAAAAACACGTCTGTTACAATAGGTCAAGCCTTCATTTAATATACAAAACTCTGATTTCTTTTGACAGTTGTGTGCAGCTTTTTTTAGTGTAGAACGTGAATTTGTTTTAATGCTATGACTTTGTGTGTATAAACATGAACTCTTTTTAAGGGTTTGAAATCACTTACAAATTTTATAACAGTAAATGCAGCCAACTGCTTAATATTTGGGAAGAGTATACTGTACTACATTTTGAAGTGTTACCTGTAGAGCCCTGCACATCCGCGGGAATCTGCTTTCTATCCACGGATATCCACAGACCATTTTTGCTGCTCGCAGCTCAGATGCGGATACAAATTTTGTATCCACACAGGGGTCTGCAGCACACACTCACCGGAATGGAGAGGCTGTCACCCAGCCTGCAGGCTCCACCTCCGCGCTCTAAATCATGCAGCAGTGGGCTGAGCATTCTGGGAGTTGTAGTTTACCTCCTCCCTCCAAGCAAGCTGGGGACTACAACTCCCAGAAGGGAGTAAGCCTAGCGCCATTTTGAAGGTGTGTTTGTTCTTTAAATGAGCAGGCGGTAATAGCTGTGTGCATTAGAGCCTCCGCAACTGCATAGGGGCGTCCGTGCCCCCCACGGGAAGGGCGGTGCTGCATAGAAGGGCCCAGAATTGTAGCCTCCCTGTCAGGAGCGGGGAAGGAGGTACGGCAAGGGCGGAGCAGGGGACAGGGCAGGAGGTCTCTGGGGAGAAATCAGGGAGTGGGGAGTGGTTGAGGGTTGGGGCTTGACACAGCCCTGTGTCCCTGCTGTGCAGTGACCTGTGGATCTGTTTAGAGCCCTGCAAATCCACGGATATCCACAGACAATTTTTGCGGATTGGATGCGGATACACCTTTTGTATCCACGCAGGGCTCTAGTTACCTTAAACACTATATGTAATGGTTAAACAGAAATTTGTGAATGTTAATTTCGAAAAGTGTCAGTAGTTCATGAATGAACTTAAAAAACAGCTGTGGACTGTTTTTAATGTTATGATAATTGTTCTTTATACACAGCTTGACCTCATTGTTTAAATGTCCAGTTGTGTAAGTAACTGTAATTTCTAAACAAAGTGTGTAACTGAACACTTGACCAATTGTATAGTACAACTGGTGTATGCATTTGCATCACCCACCGCATAAAATCAAATTAAAATGTCAGTTACTTCAAACTATGCTAACACACAGTATTGTTAAAAATCATAATTGTTCATGCTGTTAAACGTATGGATCACTGTATAATCACCCTAACAGTTAATTTAACTTTGTTAATGTGAAAAAAAATAGATTTCAAAATAGTGAAACCTGTAATTTTGTGTTGCTTGTTGCTGTTGAAATGATAGATGTAATTGTAATATTTTGAAACAGTGCTATTTAACTTCAAGGATGATCACAGTCTGTAAATTATTTTAATCCTTAAAACGTGCTGTGTTCTTTTGTGCTGAGGGTTAAATTAAATATTTTTTAGCAGTTTGGTGCAGGTGGGGCTTTTTAACTTAAGCAATCCCTTCACTGGGTCCAAAGCCTGCAAGCAAAATGTAATATATGAAGAAAGCAATAAATTGAGGTATGAGAGTGTAAAAATAGGTGGGTATTTCCCACTTTACACCTGGCTTCCAGTAAATCATTATCAAAATTCTTGAAGTACAATATTTTTATTAGTAAATTTATAGCTGGTTCATAGCAATTCTGATTCTCAATGTACTTAACTTTTCCTGAAAGCTAATATTTACCTTTCACATTTTAGTCTTGAGAAATCAGAATATTTATACAATATTTAATATTCAGTGTTGCATATTGGGGCATGGGTTTATTAAACATTAGTCATTTTGGCCATGATCTTTACTATACTATTAAGTAAAGCTTTTTGTGCATGTTTTGGTTTATTTTCTTTTATATACATATTTTATAAAACATAGTGTTAACCTCTACCTTACTCTGCTAAGTGACTTGATAGGTTTTAAATCTAATTCTGTTTGTAGTATGGTGAAAAAAATATGCTATTATTATCTTCTAAAGGGTAACATAGTCACCCTTTGAGGCCAATTGGAGATGGTATGCAGACCTTTTGGAGAGCCTACAACAAGACTTATCTGAGGTGAGAACATTTTAAAAACTTTATCATCCATAATTTCTCTGTCCTTTACAGTCTAAAAAATTATTTAGGCAAATTTTTCTGACAAATGTACATGTGTTTAGTAACTAGTTTAGCCAAGAGAAAATGTGGTGAGAAATTTAATACTAAAGCTTCTGTTCTTTATCTTGTGTTGCAGCATATGCCAAACAATAGTTCTGGAGTCAGTTACTATAATGTCCTTCGTTTGTTCTAGTAGTAATTTCTAAATTTAGAAACTATTTCACTTGTTTTCACTTATTGAGATCTCTATTTTGAACTCTTGGAATTTTTGCTATGGGGAAACTATGAATGGCAGAGCTGAAATTCAAGCTGGAAGTTCTGTTGAGTTCAAGGAGCAAAAGTTTGGTATGTTCATTATGACTCTTAATTTCTTATACTTTAATTACTGTAATGTACAGTTAGTATAAGAATATTGTAGAAGCACTTAAGTTTTCTGCAAAGTACTACCAAACTTTTTAGGAAAGAAGTATGAATACTGTACATTAGAATACAGAATAGAATGCCAGTGATGACTTATAGTTCTAAGTATGTGTATAAATAGGTAGTGTCTCTTATTTTAAAACTGATATTCAGTGGGAAAGTTTTCCTGTCATCTACATTTTTTTGTTTTAAAAAAATAATTAAACTTTAAAACATTATTTTGTTGTGATCCAAAATACATCATTTGCACAGGCTGTCTGAGATATACTGTTCTGAAGTAGTAGTTATTAATACCAAATTTATATAAAAATAAACAGTACAGTATGCATACTAAAACAATCAGCTTAATTGATGACTTACAGAACTGTACATTCTTGCTATCAGTGTCCTGTTTCTAGTGCACCAACTGGAAAAAAACAAAATAAAAAACAAAACCCAAGGGGTCTTTTCAGATATAGTTTCAGTATAACAGTAAAATTTATTTTCTCTAAATTGAGAGAAGGGATTTTTCCCCCCAAAAAATATTGTAAAGGGGTTTTCAAGCAGCAAGGAGGATTAGGCCTATTGTATGTCCGTTTTCTTCTTTTAAAGTGTTTTGGTGAGGACTTCTGAGGTTAACTTTTCAAGCCCAGATATATTGCATGACTATTAGGATGTGATACATTAACAGAAAATATCAGACAAACCAAATTGGTTATACAGATTTGAATGAGAAGCAAGTGAAAAGACAATTGTTTATAAAAGCCACTATGTACATTCATACACTCTGTTTAGTGTACTAGGATTACCATAATCTTCTGAGATTTGTGCACTGACTACTTTGGCAGAAGATAGGTAAAAAGGTAAATTTTATCTTTCATTTCCTCTCTTCTTCTCCCCCCTTTTTATTTTGTAGAACTCAGTTTTCTTTGAAAAGTTTATGGCAGTTTTTTTTGGCAGCAAAACTAATCTTTCTGCTTCTTATCTCTAATTTCTCACCAGATGGACCATCACTGTTTGAAGGAGCATCTAGTCAAAATTATAAGTATCCTAAAGAACTCTCTCCACTAGTTTTGATAAACTCATTCAGTAATGATGTAACTCTTTTGTAGTGCAGGGATTAACAACTTCCTCTATACAGAAAGGTGAGATGCTAGTTTTTATTTTCCTGTAGCAGTTTGGGGGGGAAAAAACACCTTATTTTTAATAGCACTTATTAAAATGCTGTTCACAGTTTTCATTATTTACAATTAGCAAGAGCTTGCTTTTCTAATATCTAAGAGTTTGAGAGTAATTAGTATGTAATTTAAAAAAAAAGTTTCAAAGAAGAAACGAACACAAAATCTGATGTGATAGGGACACCTATCACAAGGATATGAAATGTTGATTATATACTGTCAAATAATATTATATGATATTAGTTGGATAGATTTTTAATTCTTCAATTTATTATTCTATCAAATAATATTACTTTGAAATACACCTAGCAAGTTGAGCACGGAGCATTGAGTCAGTAAGTGTAAAAAGTAAGTGTTTTTTTTAAGGAAGCAAAAATAAAATTCTCTTAATGCTGCCTTGTCTTTTTTTCCCCTCCCTTTGCTGTATAGAAATATTGTACTCTGAAAAACAGTGTAAGTGGGGAAAATTTGCATTTGGGAATCTGCTTTCAACCCTTTATGACTGAATGGTTTTTTTGACTTGATTTAATAAACTAAGTTATTTATAAGAACCAGAATTCTTGTATGATGATCCCTGAGGTTTTTACTGTGCATGTGATATCTGTAGTGTAGTCTTTCTTAGTTTTGGAGAAAGCAGATCAGCATTAGTGGAAAGATCATATAATGGGTTTGTTTACATGCCTATTTATGTCCTCTGTTGCTTTCAGGTATGGCTTCAGGAGTATAGAGGATTTGTAATCTATACTAATACACCTCTACCTCAATATAACGCTGTCCACGGGAGCCAAAAAATCTTACCGCGTTATAGGTGAAACCATGTTATATCGAATTTGCTTTGATCCATCGGAGTGTGCAGCCCCTCTCCCCCCACAGCCTCCCCCCACCCCGAAGCACTGCTTTACCGCGTTATGTCCAAATTCATGTTATATCGGGTCGCGTTATATCGGGGTAGAGGTGTATATCAAGGCTGATATATGCCTGGATGTTCAACAGAAAGGTGAACGATCAGCCACCTCATAATATATCTTACAAATGGAACTGGGCAGAACATACTGGTTTGGGAAGGAAGGGGTAAAAGTACATGCAGTTCTTACTTGTTTATCACTTAATACTCTGATACACTAGTATTAATGATTTTCATTTAACTGCTAATCAGCTGGACCAACAGTCAAATAGATATAATTTCTAAAAGCCATTTTATGTGAATCGATGTTACGGGGTAGCCTACTACTGACAGCCCTTTATTAGGTTTTGGTGAAGATAATGGAATTGAGCTGCATGAAGATGATTAAAGTTTCAATAAGTTATGAAATAATGGTGACTCACTGGTTAAGATATTTAAAAATCTGGCCCTCTGAGTCCTGTCTCCAATTGGTGCATTAGAAACAGCAAAGTGTTTAAAACAAAATTAGCCTTTTGCTGTGTCTCTCCAAAAGTTGATATGACTTTATTTGCTACTTCCAAATTAGATTGGTGAAATCTGAGTTTTAAGTCTCCAGACACAGTTCTCATTTTTTAAACACTTGCATTGTTGGGAATTTTAGATCAGTTGCTTGCTTAAGAACTGCTCTCCTCCCCACCCTCCAACAAACAACTTAAGCCTGTTTGTCATGGTGGGGGTACATTCTTTAGGAGGGAGGGAAATATCTGTTCCCTGACCCGTACTTATTTGGTCTATCTCCTGACACTGGTAGCCTGAGCTCCTTGAGCTTGTAGAATTCAGGGAGAGACTCAGAGGGGTAGGTGGTCAGTGTCAGCTGCTCTGCACAAATAGAGATTCTTTAGTTCCCTGGCAGAGCAGCTGGGAAACGAGATCTTTGAGGATCCTACAGGGTATCTAGAGGGGACTAAAGAAGTCCTCCATAGCAGCCAGAGGAAAAGGCCTGACTGGAGCTACCTGCAGCAGAGGCAGGTGAGGGCTGAGATACAGGTACACTGGTGATGAAGTATAGGATTTTTTTCTTTTAACTGACCATACTGTCGATAGAGAACTTCAGGCACCAGAGCTGTCAAGTCTGTGGCTTTCATTAGTATTCATTGATCCTCACATCTGTTTGTGAAATTCTGGCTCTATAGTCAGTAGTATTTCTTCCATTGATTTCCATGGGGCCAGGATTTCAACCTTGGTATCTATGAAACAGGTGACTATAACATTGACTCTCACATTACAAAATAATGCATAGGTATTAGACTTTGTAATGTATGGAAACCTTGCAATAGCAATCCTTATTGAAAATGCATATGGAGAAACTAGTAGCTATTTTTTGCTTAATGTATTATGTTCATGTTGCATAATATTCTGCTAAATTATGCTCTCAGCTATGGCTTATGGCTGTGGAACTCCATGACAGTCAGAGGAATTTCATAGGTGTAACAGAGCCGAATTTGGCCTCAAATTTCTGTGTATTGTAGAATAACGTGGGTGCTATTTTGTCATGCTATTTGTGATGGAAGGACTGATGTAAATGATAGAAAATATGTATTTTTTCCTTCAAACCTGCCGTTACCAACACTTGGGTACTATAGTTTACAATGTGATTTGAAGACTTTCCATCAGTCCAAAAGATGTTCAGAAATGCTGGTACAAATATTTGCCAAGTTACCATTGTCACACTGTAAGGCA